ACTGCTGCTAAAATTATGGCTGAAAAGTCATCCTTTTCATCCAGCTTCTTTAGACGAGTGTTGAGATGACCTCTCTGAAACACAACTGTTAAGGTATAACCTCAAAACATCAAGTGCTTGTTAATACACTGAAATTATAATTTACTTATTATCTGTATCTACGTACAATTACAGGAAAAGTAAAAAAAAAAAAAACCGGCTACAGTACCGCACTGAAAGATACAATGTCTTTAAACTCCACATGGGGAAACCTTTTCTTTAGTTGTGCGGCCCGGCGAAGAGAACTGGTACCTACAACACTTCAAATATAAAATATATTATTTATTTTTAAAGAAAACACATACCCTGCAAATATTTACTTTACAAAAATTAAAACACATATCACTTCCATTCAAAATTTGGGGGTTGGTAAGATTTTTGAATGTTTTTCAAAGAAGTCTTTTATGCTTACCAAGACTGCTTTTATTAGAACAAAAATACAGTAAACCCAGTAATATTGTGAAATATTATTACAATTTCAAATAACTGTTTTCTATAAGAATACATTGTAAAATGTAATTTATTTCTGATACGCAAAGCTAAATTTTCAGCAGCAATTACTCCAGTCTTCAGTGTCACATGATTCTTCAGAAATTATTCTAATATGCTGATTTGCTGCTCAAGAAGCATTTCTTAATAATATCAATGTTGAATGTTGATTGTTTGATAAACAGAAATCTCAAAAGAACAGCATTTATTTGAAACAAATCTTTTGTAACATTATAAATTATCACTTTTGATCAATTTAATGTGTCCTGGCTGAATGAAAGTATCAATTTCTTTTAAATGGTAGTGAACTTTAATATATTTAAAATATAGTTCTTTGTACTGGCCACCAATTTTACCTCTTGTTGGCTAGAGATTCTAGAAATTTGCCTTTATGTTTGGGGTGCAAGACAACAGCATCGTGGGGGTTTTCTCGCCTTTGAAGAGAAGGAAATGTCAATCATAATGTTGACCACATATTAAAAAGGATTTGCGATGAGCAATACACTATATCAGTTTTTTCCAAACACTTTAATAATTATTTATGAACATTTAGGTTGAAGTTCATCTGTAACATGACATGTCAGTTACTTTTAAGATAAAAGACTCTTTAGATGTGGAGGGGCATATAAGCACTTCAGAACACAGAGACACTACTGTGATTCACTTACTTCAGCACAGATCCTATAGTGAAGCCTTCAGGAAGAACAGTTGGCAAGTCTTTCAAAGAGTGCACGACCAGGTCCACCCTATAGAGACACAAATATTACAACAGCATTATTCATACTGAAACATAAGCACCAGTGTAGCAGTGCAAACCTCTGAAACATCAAATGCACCAAAAGACCAATGAACAAATCTGTATGCAGTGCGAAGTATACATGAATGATATAAAGAAGGATTGACTCACTCATTTTTTTCCAAAGCATTTTCCAAATTATAACTAGTTATGATTAATTATTCATATTTCCCCATGAGCTGATTCGCTACAGCGGTGTCAAGAATTTTATCTCCTGTTGTTGACATAGCCACTGAAACAAAAAAAATAATAAGACTGAAGTGGAATTTAGTTTAAGGAGAGTGAATATTAACTACATCATACTTGCTAAACTCAATTACAAATAAACAACAACTGTTTTGCATATTCGACAATGATCTCTTACCTATTTCAAAATGAACATCAGGGTGTAACTCCTTGAGTTTCTCTACAACACTGTCTGTCTGAATCCGAGCCAGCTGAAAAAAAGGGAGAAAGGTAACAAAAAGTTTCAACAATATTCCATTTCCCACAAAATATGATGGTCCTTCAAGGCTAATCTTCTTGTTTAGGGCTTCAACTGGTTTCTTTACTAAAACTAATCAATCTTGTACGCACCCTAACAAAGACAGAAATCTTATCAAAGCCATCACCACCGCTGACACACCCAATCAAACTTACAAACCTACATTTGCCTATGTGACTCTAGTACTACTATGTGATGATGAGGCAAAATATATATAGGCAATGTTTTACTTTTACTTTCCATACTATAATTAATGTCTATTAGACTTTAGTTATAGAATGGAAAGTAAAAACGTATTTTAGAAAACGTGAGAAGATAATTAAGACACATTGGTATTTTAAATACATGGATGATTCCAATGACAAGCAGTCATAAAAACTGTGAACCGTGTGCATTTAAATTTCTCCAATTTATCAGGTGATGAATATGATTAGATATTTTAGCAATATTTTAGATGATCTCAATTGTATGTACACTACAGTTTAAAAGTTTGGGATCAGTGATCATTTTTTAATGAAAAATTTTAGCAAGGATGCATGAAATTAATCAAAAGAACCAGTAAAGACATTTATAATGCAAAAGATTTCTATTTTAAATAAATGCTTTTTTTCTTCCTTTTTTAGTATTGTCAAAGAATCCTGAAAAAAATTGTGATACAATTTCCAGAAAAACATTTAGCAGCACAACTGTTTTCAACATTGATAATAATAAGAAATATTTTTTGAGTACCAGCATATTAGAATGATTTCTGTAAAGATCATGTGACCCTTAGGACTGGAGTAAATGGCTGCTGAAAATGCAGCTTTGCAGTCACAGGAAGACGTTTTAAATATATTAAAATAGATAACATTTTTTAAAATTAATATGTATGGAATGTGATTTTTTTTTTTTTTAAATAGACCATGTACAATGAATGTGCATATGATCATTTACCTGGCTTTTTCTGGTGCCAACACGGATCACCCTGCTGACTTTGCCATCAGCATCCTGTAAAAGATGACAATAGTTTTTATGCAAAGATCAGTACCAACAAAAATAACACAGACTAATATGTTAATGTTTCTGTTCTTTACACCATGACAATAACCATTCATTTAAAGCAAATTATTATTACATTCTGACCCTAATGTATTTATAAGGTCCATCTGCCATAGCTGTAGTGAAATTAACTGGAGTCTTCAGAGGAACAGAGAGCAGTGTACAAGAACATGAAGCAGGACAGGACAGACTGATGAGCCAGTGCCCCAGTGTCCTGGCTTCAGTAGATAAGACAATAACGCCTATTCACTGCGTCCGTTACACACGAGGGAGGAGTAAAGAACACCATTCATACAGAGAGATTTCATATGCGAGAATATTACACTAAAACTTTTTGGGTAAAGATGATTCAGATGTAGCTTCCTATTTAACCACTAGACCTAAGCCAAAATAACATTATCAATTATGTCATAATCGCATAACTAACGGAGCTGCACTGTAAGGTTTACGAGTGTGGGCGAAATACATTGAATGTAAAATAAATACGGTTAAATTAGTTAGATTTGGTTTTGATTTCTCTCAAAATTACTTTTTTTACTCAAATTTTGAGTAGCGAATGAATGAAAACACACCTGTAGGTTTGTCTTTTCCGACATTTTGTAAGATGATCCCAGTTATTTAGTGCTGATCTCGTTGAAATTAAAGTCATTTCTCATTAATGATTGTAAAGGAGAAAATATTGAAGTGGGACAAATGTCATTCACAACTGTTACAGGTTGAGTATAATTTCAATAAAATTAAGTCCGAATTTCAGAATAAAGGTCCCTATGACCGTCACAAAAAAATAGCAGAATACAAAATAAACAAAATCAAACTTTTAGTTTGAAGACGCGGTTATTCTGGAGACGGATGTTATCATGAACACAAGGTAATCGCGGTATCGTTTGTGTTCTCACTTCATTCACTCATTTTATATATCAGAAATTACAGTAATCGAATGAGCACGATGGCGGAGAATGAATTATTTCACAAACAAACAATGTCTATAATGACGCTGATGACTGAAACAGTTCGAGACGAGATTCGAAAAGTTTTTGACTGTGAATGTCGTCCATTCCACACTGACATTAGTTGTGACAGAGATGCGATATTGGACATGAATAAGAACCAACGCAGACTGGTACCTTTATTTTTATTCTGCATGTATTTTGCATGTTATTTAAGTATCAACAAGGGATTGTTGTCAGTTGTGATCTGTTCCTGACGTTTTTCCTTTGTGCAGTCTTTTATTTTAAGGTTAGGTTACATTTTATATGATTAATCAAGACTTTTGTGTTTAACACTGTAATAAGTAACTATATTTCATTCTTTAAATGAAATGTTCAGCTTCATCCTGCTAGTTCGAAAACTGAACTTTTGAAATTTTGTCCAGATGAATTAATCAGTAGTTAAAGGCACAATATGTAAGATTTTTTTAAATTAAAACAGAGAGCAGTGTACAAGAACATGAAGCAGGACAGGACAGACTGATGAGCCAGTGCCCCAGTGTCCTGGCTTCAGTAGATAAGACAATAACGCCTATTCACTGCGTCCGTTACACACGAGGGAGGAGTAAAGAACACCATTCATACAGAGAGATTTCATATGCGAGAATATTACACTAAAACTTTTTGGGTAAAGATGATTCAGATGTAGCTTCCTATTTAACCACTAGACCTAAGCCAAAATAACATTATCAATTATGTCATAATCGCATAACTAACGGAGCTGCACTGTAAGGTTTACGAGTGTGGGCGAAATACATTGAATGTAAAATAAATACGGTTAAATTAGTTAGATTTGGTTTTGATTTCTCTCAAAATTACTTTTTTTACTCAAATTTTGAGTAGCGAATGAATGAAAACACACCTGTAGGTTTGTCTTTTCCGACATTTTGTAAGATGATCCCAGTTATTTAGTGCTGATCTCGTTGAAATTAAAGTCATTTCTCATTAATGATTGTAAAGGAGAAAATATTGAAGTGGGACAAATGTCATTCACAACTGTTACAGGTTGAGTATAATTTCAATAAAATTAAGTCCGAATTTCAGAATAAAGGTCCCTATGACCGTCACAAAAAAATAGCAGAATACAAAATAAACAAAATCAAACTTTTAGTTTGAAGACGCGGTTATTCTGGAGACGGATGTTATCATGAACACAAGGTAATCGCGGTATCGTTTGTGTTCTCACTTCATTCACTCATTTTATATATCAGAAATTACAGTAATCGAATGAGCACGATGGCGGAGAATGAATTATTTCACAAACAAACAATGTCTATAATGACGCTGATGACTGAAACAGTTCGAGACGAGATTCGAAAAGTTTTTGACTGTGAATGTCGTCCATTCCACACTGACATTAGTTGTGACAGAGATGCGATATTGGACATGAATAAGAACCAACGCAGACTGGTACCTTTATTTTTATTCTGCATGTATTTTGCATGTTATTTAAGTATCAACAAGGGATTGTTGTCAGTTGTGATCTGTTCCTGACGTTTTTCCTTTGTGCAGTCTTTTATTTTAAGGTTAGGTTACATTTTATATGATTAATCAAGACTTTTGTGTTTAACACTGTAATAAGTAACTATATTTCATTCTTTAAATGAAATGTTCAGCTTCATCCTGCTAGTTCGAAAACTGAACTTTTGAAATTTTGTCCAGATGAATTAATCAGTAGTTAAAGGCACAATATGTAAGATTTTTTTAAATTAAAATATCCAAAAACCACTAGAACAGTGTTGCTGACTTGTGTACTTACATTATCCCAAATGTTTTGAAGAATGTTTAAATCCAGAGAAATAAGCAATTTTAACTAGTGACACTGACCGTGTCCATAGTGTCATTGTGTCGCCTGCCAATGACGTCATAACCCCTCGATTTCCGGTTTTGTTTTGTAGAAAACATGGAAACACCAAAGACGCTTTAATATGTTGTGCGTTTTATTAGACCAGTGACGACCGCACAGAGTGGCATAATAAAAGCTCCGCTGCTTTCGAGCCGTGTTTCACACTTGTTCAGTGGCCTCGACGGCTTTCAGCCTCACCCTGCTTCATTCTACTACGTTAATAAATCATTAGCTCATCCATGAACATGATTTCTGCCCGAGTCCCGTCAGATTGCATCAGCTGTGGGGATGAAGACCACAACTCCCATGATTCCACACTCAGTCACAGTGTCATCAAACTACGCCTTTGACTCTTTGTTTATTTTGAATACGCGCCCTCTAGCGGCGAAAATTACATATTGTGCCTTTAATATCTGTTGCAGGCAAAGCTCACAGCTTTGATGGAGACCTTTACCAAGGTGGCTGTTCAAAAAATATGTAAAGTCTTCAGTTATTGCTTTGCGCTTAAGCCAACTCAGCTGAAGAGTTTTAAAGGTTACCATGACGATGTAATAAATGTAAAAGAGTTGGTGAAGGAGCATGTGAAAAAAACAGAAAGAAAAAACAATCAAACTGTCAAAGTTGTGCCTGGTAAGATGTCCTGCATATATTATAATGTCATATATAAAGTCATATTCAATCCACTACAATGTTAACTGTAGGAATTTCTCATTCTCCTCTCAGATTCTGCAGCTGTAGCTCCATCAGTGTCTCTGGAGAGACCGAATTTGCTCACTGCGTTACCTGAAGAAAACATACAACCACAAGATTCTGTTAAAAGCCAGCAGGTGAGTTCATTGTTGAAATGATTTAACTCTGTGTTATTTGCTAAAATGCTGGCAACAACGTTTGTTCTGATTTTATTTTTTCTCTCAGTGTGCAGAGGAGGGTCACGTTTCTAAATTTCATCCCGAATCATCAAGTAGTGGACAAGAGAACCCAGTGCAACCATGTTTTATAAGTATGTGCTACACAGCTTTGATATTTATGTGTACTATCTATATAAAAAGTGTAGTAATTGATTGAATGTTAATTAATTAATTCATCTGTCTATTATTAAGCGATTATTTATTTCAACTTTACTTCAATATGTTTGGCATTATTAAATGATAAAATATTAGACTCTAGACCAATGGTTTTCATATTTCTTCAGGCAGCGGACCACATCAACATTAAAACAATAATTCTAGACCACCGAACACCCAAAGTACCTCAGTGTTTATTTGTTTTATATCCTATATTTTGAAATAGCCTCACTTTTCCCTATCCATCACTTTTCTAGACTACTATTTTTTTCTCATTTCACTAAAATCAACTAGACAGTTACTTTTAGCTAATGAACATAAATAAGAAAACTGTTCACTAGCTAGTTATTAATTAAATTTGGTATAATTTACATTTACATTTATTCATTTAGCAGATGTTTTTATCCAAAGCGACTTACAATTGGGGAATACAACAAGCGATTCTTCATAAAGAGGCAAATAAACACCGAAAGTGCTCGTAATACAATTATATATAATTAATTAATCATTTTATTGATATAAATATTTCTATTTAGTGAAAGTGACGTGACCAAGTATGGTGACCCATACTCAGAATTAGTGCTCTGCATTTAACCCATCCAAAGTGCACACACACACACACAGCAGTGAACACACACACACCGTGAACACACACCCGGAGCAGTGGGCAGCCATTTTTTTGCTGCGGCGCCCGGGGAGCAGTTGGGGGTTCGGTGCCTTGCTCAAGGGTACCTCAGTCGTGATATTGAAGGTGGTAGAGAGCGCTGTACATTCACTCCCCCCACCTACAATCCCTGCCGGTACGAGACTCGAACCCGCAACCTTTGGGTTACGAGTCCGACTCTCTAACCATTAGGCCACGACTTCCCCGCCATAGGCTTATTTAGGCTTAAATAAAAAATGTTTGAGGTAGTAAGATTTATTAAATGTTTGTAAAAGAAATTGCTCATGCTTTATTTGATCAGAAATCCATATCCAATCCACAATAAAAACCATATTGTGATTTATTTAAAAAAAATAATAATTTAAATAACTTTTCTGTACTTTTCTAATAACTTTCTACGGCAAAGCTGAATGTTCTCCAGTCAGTGACACATGGTCCTTCGTAAAGTGTTTTAATATGCTGATTGGTGCTCAAGAAACATTTTTTTATTATTATCAATGTTGAAAACAGTTGTGCTGCTTAATACTTTTGTGTATTAATACTTAATACTATTTTTTATGCTCAAACAGCAACATTACAGACTAACTAAAGTTGAAAAAGTGAAAAAGCATAATAGGACCCCTTTAAGCCAATTGTTAATATGCAAAATCATTAGTTATACAATGGGAATTCCTCATTACAGTGTACTCCTTGTCCAAGAATAAACAGTTTGTTGAAAATGCAATGATTTTTTTCTTTTATTGTTATTTTATTTGTAATTTTGGTAGTAAAAGTCTTATGGATAAGCTATGGATAAGATCAAAAGAGTAAAGGGCAGACATGTTGTAAACAGTTAAATGCTCAAATGGTCTAAAAAAATTCAAAATGTTTGACTTTTCAAATGCAGTTTGATATAGAGAAATTATTTAACAGGGTAGGGTATGATAGTTCTCCAGCTTTTTGTCGTTTACGTTAAGTGACTTATTTTGAAAACCTTCTCTAGGAAGTGTACAGGACCTGTGATGGACGATCGAGTCCATTTACCTAAAAACAGTCAATAGGAGTTTATCAAAATTTGCAATTCAAAGCTGATTTTGCATAACACAAAAACAATAAACAAGCTCATTTAACAAATTAACCAGAAAGGGCTCTGACTATCATAAACAATACACTGTATTATCATATAAAACAAGTCTTATTTAGTTATTTTATCTGTTTCTACAGAGAACCTTTTTATTCAGATTTAATTGAAAATGGTTTATGGTCAATGGCGCATCTTTGCATACTTTTATTTTGAAATGGTAATGAACTAAAGAGGAAGTGTTTAGAGCAGAATGCACCTTTTCCTGGGAGTTTGCTCACCCGACGGATAATTACAATATAATGACTTGGCTTCATATTGAGAAGTTGTTATTCACGATCTATTAGGACTATTGCGATACTTTGCATGTATTCAAACTGGATTTACAGTTTTTTAGGCGTTGGACTGCCAATGCAGCACGTTTTTCTTCTAAATCTTGCTGCAATATCATTTTAAAAGCGGTTTCTCATTTGTGCACTGCTCGTAGCTGTGGCCACTATGTCCAGGAATGAGCTTTTTACGAGTCAAACTGCTCTGTTGATCTTATTAATGCCGGACACGCCAAAGCAGGACACACCAAAGACATGCAGCTCTGCTGAACCTCATCTCAACATGAATCAAAACGACACTCAGGTGGTAAGAATTTTTGTTATTGACATTTTTTGTTGTAACTTGAATGGTTGCAGGTGAGTAGCTTGTATCTATCCTCTCTCATCAGTCACTCATAAGATAGATAGATAGATAGATAGATAGATAGTTAGTCAAGGAATATAAAATCTAAATGGCCATACAGTTTGAAGTGCTGATATGGTATATATGTATTTGAAACTTCTATTAGTATTTGTTTGTCTAGTGTTTACACGTAAAACATTTCCATGTGATGTGAATTATAGGCTGCACAGGAGAGTCATGCAAGCAGATGTCTTTTAGTGGAGGACAGAGCAGAAGACAACATTCAGACTGTTGTCATAGGTGATGGTAAGGTAGTTCTTAAAGTTCTTATACTAGACATTTTATTTCTTGTCATGTACATTAGCTTATGAATAAGTACAGCTGCTGTTTGTTGTACATAGTAAGACTTCATTTTTGCCCTGATTTCTGCCCCTTATTTTAGTTTGTTTTTCTCAAAGCTCAATAAAAAGTCTTAATATTTTGAGTTTACCTTTAAAAACATATTGATGGTGCATGATTCTGCACGCACTAATGTTTTGGAAAACCATGTTAAAATATGAGTATCAAATATGATACAACAGGCTTTTGAGGAACGCTTATATGTGCATCTTTATTTCAACTCATATTCATATGCATTTTATGTAAGTAGCCTGCTATACTGTTATGAAGATTTCTTTGATTTACATTACGATACATCAGAATTTCATCTTACTTTTTTGGCCATATAAATAACAACATCTGCACCAAATTGCATACTTTTCCTCAGTTTGGGCTCTGAATAAAATTGAGGTGTTTTTTTTACATCTTAAGTATGAGCTCCGTATTCTCATTATATTATAGTATATGAATCATAAAAGCCTGATGTATCAAATATGATCCAAAACATAAAACACATGTGCACAGTATATATATATAAGTTTCATTAAACTGTTTCATTTTAAAAAATAGATTGTTCTGATTATTTCATCTGTCAAGCTTTACAGGGTAATATATCAATACGTCCAGTTTCTGTTAATTAAAAAAATGTGAAAACAAGCAGCTTTGTAATAATTACAGCAGAAATACCAGAAAAACCTATATCGGGAAGACTTTAAATATTGTGTTGGACAACAGTGGTGTCTTTGAGTCAAAAGGGTTGAGAACCACTCATATAGACTTAAGGCTATTTGATATTTAAAACAAAAAAAGCCCTTTGATATATCACCAAATTCTTGTTTCAGGAAATATGGTAAGAAAAGGCATTTAATGTGATCTTTGAAGTACTTCTGTCTTGAGGAATCTTTAATAGCTTATATGATCAACAAATGTTGTATTTTTGTGTTGTTTTTTCATCAGCTGATGACAGGGGTTGGTCTGAAGATCAGGAAGGCGTGTTGCAGACATCAGCCGAGCAACCTGATAAGCCACAAGAGAACGAGTCTTTTGAATGTGAGCAGTGCGGAAAGGCCTTTCCAAAGATGTTTTCTCTTCTTCGACATAAACGTGTGCATTCGGTCATAAAGCAGCACTGTTGTGAAAAATGCGGGAAGAAGTTCTCGCAATTAAGAGCGCTAGAAACTCATCTCCGCAAGCATACGCAGAAGTTCGAGAAGAAGAAATTTCCTTGCGCTACTTGTGGAAAGAGCTTCAAAGATCTCGCAGCTCATGAACGGGTTCATGAGGAAGTCAGACCGTTTACCTGTGATACATGTGGACAGGGATTCACAGTCAAAGGAAGCTTATATATGCACCAGAGGGTGCACACGGGCGAAAAACCGTACACATGTGACACCTGTGGGAAAAGTTTCTCTCTAATAGGCACCCTAAACTGCCACAAGAAGTTTCATTCAGATGACCGGCCAATAAAATGCAGCCACTGCAATAAGAGCTTCAAGTGCAAGAGTCATTTGAGGCGCCACCTTCCTGTGCACACTGGTGAGAGACGATATACGTGTAAAATCTGTGGTAAAACATTTGCACATCATGAAGCTATGACACGCCACATCCTCATTCACACCGGAGAAAAGCCGTACATCTGTGAAGTGTGCGGTAAAAGATTTCGCCAGAGAAGCAATTTAAAAGTCCACATGCGGGTGCACGAAGAGACACAATTTAAGTGTGAAATGTGTGGGAAAACATTCCAGCATGATTTTTTGCTACAGAGCCATATTTTATCACACAATCATACTGGAAATTCAGAAGAAGAGCAGTTTCTGAATTCCAAGTCTGTGTTAAAAACTCAACTACAGCTACATTCAGACAACAGCAAACCTTTTACATGCAAATTGTGCGAGAAGAACTACAGCAACATATATAATCTTCGCATACACGAGAAGCTTCACTCGGGCGAGACCCCGTTCAAGTGTGAGGTCTGCGGTAAGGCCTACGCTCTCAGAAAGTCCTTTAAAACACATATGTTGTGCCATTCAGGAGATAAACCTTATAAATGCATAGCATGCGGGAAAGCGTTCAAGTGGTCTGGCTCTCTGAAAATGCATATGAATACTCATACTGATGACAAAATGCACAAATGTGAGACGTGTGGAAAGAGCTTTCGCTTGTATGGAAATTTAAAGCGACACAAGCATGCCCATGCTGGGGAGAAGCCGTTTAGCTGTAAGGTCTGTGGGGAAGGGTTTGCAGAACTCGACCATGTCAAAGCACATATGCAAATCCATACTGGAGTGAAACCCTACACATGCCAGAAGTGTGGGAAGAATTATGTATATCTTAGGCATTACAATGATCACAAATGCAAACCTGTATGAAAAAGATGTTGTTGTAGGAACTTATAACAACTGCAGGACTCTTTTCATATTGTAATATTTCCTAGACAAATGTTTGGGTAACATTGTGAAGACATTTAAATAAAACATTAGGCTGAACAAGCTGCTGTTATTTTTAATGTTGCATAATATGAACCTATATAAAAAAAATGATTAATACTATCATGATACGTTCACATAGTAATAAACATAGTAATAATTGTTAATACGTTGGCGTGGTGATGGAAAACCTGAAAATATGAGGGAATTTATATTGTGTTCATTGTGTTTTCCAGGCCTGAGAAAGTTATTGAAAATAACCAAATATGGACATTTTAAAAGTGAATCTAAATGTTTCTAGATGTGCTCTGATATAAATTATTTCATCAGCTAGGTACTGCTCTTGTATAGAGCTTGTTGTGAATCAATTTTTCAACTTTTCAATGAATATTCAATTTTTGTTCCAAAATGATCTGAATTTTTCCTTAGCGAATGTATCTGATATAAAATATCCGATATAAAATATATATTTTTAAAGTGTTTTTAAAAATCCTTATCCAGTCATCAGAAATTCCATAAAAACTTATGATCAAGAATGGTATCTGAATTCTCTCAAATAAACTTACAGCACTTGTTATTAAACCACTATCCTTAAGCATGCAAATAAATAACAAGAGAAACGTAATTAGGAATTGTATTATTCCTTTTGTAATTAGAGAGCGTTCAACTACTTTTATTTTGAAAATCTGTTTCGGAAGTATATTTGTTGTAGTCACTGGTCTATAATGGGTCTTAGCAAACCCATTGTAAGATCAAATTGATCCAAAACAGTTTAATGCCATCAACAACGTACCACTGAATTTGTTTTGGTAGTCATAACATAAGCAATTTTATGGCGAATGCCGATCATTGAGAGACTTTTATTTTAAAATAAAACAAAGAGGAAGTACGTACTGCTTAGTTCAACTTTGTAGGGTGTTCAACGTTTTGTTTATTTTCTTCTCAATCTGGCAGTACCGACTGTTAAACACAGGTTTAGTTGATTTTGCTGCATTTCTCTTAACTGTGGTCACTATGGCCCGGTTTGAGCTTTTTCAGAGTCAAACCACTCTGATCGTGTCAGTCCTGACGGACACTGCTAATCACGAGATCCGAAAGGCTTTTACATGCAGCTCCGATGAATCCAGTCTCACTATCAAACCAAACAATACTCAGATTCAGATGGTAAGAAAGTCTGTTATTAAGGAATTTTAACATGGATTTTTGTAATGTGTTAGAGAGAACCCTCCTTTATTTTTACAGCCTGATTAATTATGTTTTATTCTTATAGTGTTATTTTTGTTCTTAATTGTAGCATTTCTTTTTTTTTTTAAATGCAGCTTAATTCCATAATGGAGAGGTTTGCCAAAGAAGCAGTGCAGAAGATTTGCAGTCTCTTCAGATACTGTTCATCCAGTGCACCAGGTCCAGCACAACTATGTTTGAATGGTCGAGACGACCTGAGGAAGACTTCATCTCAGTTGGGACGTGATCTCAGTGGAGCAACATATATCCATAACCAAGAGTTTCAGGGTACTTGATATAGATGTCAATATCAGGCAACACGAGTTGCGAGCCTGAAGACTTACTCTAGCACTCTCCGTCCTTTATCTTAGTATTTGTGGTGAGTTTTGTTTTGTGTTCATCTCTTACAGTAGATTCTGTATCTCTCTCTGTGAGTCCTCTGAAGGAGCCAGCAACAACATCTCACCAGCACCCTTCAAGCACTGAGGTGAGTAATAATACAATGCAGTTTTAAAGAGGAACTTCTTTTAAAGATATAACTTACAGTGTGATAAATGTTGGTTGAGACCCTTATAACCTGCACAGGAAAGTAATGTAAGCAAATGTCTTATGATGGAGGACAGAGGAGAGGAAACCATCCAGACAATATTCGTCAGTGACGGTAAGAGACTCGACTTTTAGTTTGAAATTTCTCACCCTCTTACACATTTTCCACACTTGCATGTGCTAATTTATATGTCAGTGTCGATATTGCGAATTAAAACTATTTAAAACTTTTTTTAATTGAAATAAAGCTGAAATAAAATATAAATATCTGAAGAAACAAAATGAATGGCAACTAACTGAAATAAAATAAGTTTAAGTACTAAAACGACTGAAACTGAAATAAATTTTAAAGCTAAATAAAAGTATAAAAAAATAAAAGCACATAACAAAATTGATCAAACTTAAAAAAAACTAAAAATATGAAAATAAAGGCTAAGTAAAATAATAATAATAATAATATATTAATAATTATAATATTAATAATATATGTATATAATTCATATTAAAATAACGTTGATATGTATTATAGTTTTTAAATGTTTAAATGCTAAAGTTTTTAAATTTAAACTTTAATAATCTTCAAGAGTTCTTTAAAGGGGACATAACACACACAGTTCCGCCAGTCTCATTTTAATCTTGAGTACCTATAGAGTACTGCATTCTTCATATCTCCAAAGAGTCTTTAGTTTGATCATATTTATCATATTTAGCACGCAAAGCTTTTGCATAGCAATCGTCTGCAGTTAACGAATTAAGCATTTTTTTACTTCAATTAACTATGACTAACGAATTAACGAATGAAGCACGTTGATGGGCGTGCTCTCGCTCTGGTTGCTGTGTGCGCACACTCTTCCGGGAGAAGTGCCCATACAAGGAATTCCGCCCTTTATGACGTCATACAGAGCCATACTTGATAATAACTTTCCGAAACTTATTCAAACCCTGAAGGAGTGGATTTGGCACAGAAATACTCTGTCATACGTCCAACTCATTTTTTTTAACTTTGGCCATGTTTAGCATGAGAATCCAATTCTTTAACAGTGTAAATAAGTCAGAATGCATGAAATAGCATTTTTAAATTAAAAATAAAATCTAAATGTATTATATAAATATAACATATTGCATAATTTGTATTATATATTGGAAAGAGCTGTATTCATTTCTGAAAGTCAGCCTGAAATTGACCTTACTGACTGACTTGATGCACATTTTTGCTTATGTTGTGTACTATTTTATCAGTGTAAATTATTTTAAATTTACTAATCTGAATATATGAATAGACCATGATTGATGTTAATTGACCCTGATGTTGTTTTTATTTCACCTGCAGCTGATGACAGGGGTTGGTCTGAAGATCAGGAAGGTGTGTTGCAGACATCAACCAATCAACCTAAAGTTCCACAAGCGAAAGAGTCTTTTGAATGTGAGCAGTGCGGAAAGGCCTTTCCAAAGATGTTTTCTCTCATGCAGCACAAACGTGTGCATTCAATCATGAGGCCTCACAGTTGTGAAAAGTGCGGGAAGAAATTCACACTGCTGAGAGCGCTAGAGACTCACCTTCGCAAACACTCGCAGAAGTTTGAGAAGAAGAAATTTCCCTGCGCTACTTGCGGAAAGAGCTTCAGAGATCTTGCAGCGCATGAACTGGTTCACGCCGATGTCAAACCGTTTACCTGTGAAATATGCGGACAGGGATTCACAATCAAAAGAAGCTTATACATGCACCAGAGGGTGCACACGGGCGAAAAACCGTACCGATGCGACACCTGTGGAAAGTGTTTCTCCCTGATTGGCACATTGAACTACCACAAGAGAATTCATTCAAACGACAGGCCGATAAAATGCAGCCACTGCAATAAGAGCTTCAAATACCATAAACTTTTAAAACACCACCTCCGCGTGCACACGGGCGAGAGGCCGCACACGTGCGACATCTGTGGGAAAAGTTTTGCACTTTCCGGGACTCTAAAACGCCACATCCTCGTTCACACAGGCGACAAGCCATACATCTGCGAGGTGTGCGGCAGAAGATTCAACCAGAGAAGCACTCTGAAAGGCCACATGCGAGTTCACGGAGAAAAGCGATTTATGTGTGAAATGTGCGGGAAAACATTCCAGTATAATTACGTCCTGAGGAACCACATTCTAACACATAATCCGATTGGAAATCCGGGAGATAAGAGTAACGCTCAGCGCTGCGACGTGTGTGGGAAGTTCCTGAGCTCTGCCTACGTGTTAAAAGCTCACTTGCAATTGCATTCGGACAACAGCAAACCTCATACGTGCACGTTATGCGACAGAAGGTACAGCAGCGTGCATTCCCTCCGGATGCATGAGCAGCTTCACACGGGAGAGAAACCTTTCAAGTGCGAGATCTGTGGTAAGGACTTTTCTCTGAGGGCTTCGTATAAAACCCATATGTTTCTGCATTCAGGAGAAAGACCTCACAAATGCTTACTGTGTGGGAAAAGATTCAAGCTGTCAAGCTCTCTGAAGATGCATATACGCACTCATACCGGTGAAAGACCTCATAAGTGTGAAACGTGTGGGAAGGCATTTCATTTATCGGCCAATTTGAAAAGACACAGGCTCGTGCACACCGGGGAAAAGCCGTTTACCTGTGACATTTGTTTGAAGAGTTTCACACAGCCCAACAATTTGAAGGCACACATGCACATTCACACTGGTAAAAAGCCATACACGTGCACTAAGTGTTGGAAAAGTTTTGCCTATCAGAGAAATTGCAAAGATCACAAATGTGCTCCACTTTGAGAGATTTCAGACTGCTGAACTGGTAATGTCTACCAACAGGTGCTTGAATTTCATGTAGGATTGTAAATAATTTTGTTAAAGTTACATGAAATGCTTGACTGTATTTATTTATTTATTTATAAATATAAATAAATGTTTTCCTTGTAATTTTGGAAGGAAATAGTTGAACATTACATTTTAATTGTTTTTGTGAATGTCACAATTTGAAAAAAACACACATTTGTTTAATCAAGGATATAAAACTAAAAGCCATTGTATAAATCAAATCAAATGTCTTATAATAAACATAATACAAATGGCTTGACTTGTGAGTCTACTTATATTTTTTTCAGGTCCTAAAATATATAAATATCCAACCTAAAATATCGATTTTAGATTTTAATTGAATAATGTGATGTTTTTTGTAAAATGCCCAACAACATGAGGGCATTTTACTGCTTCTGCGGTCATAAAATATTCAAAAATTCAGTAAATATTCAATATTCAGTGAAAAATTCTTCATTTTGTC